AACCCTAATCTATGTAACTCTATATTTACCGGGTTTAATAAAAAACCTAATATAATTTTGCGTCTATACTATACAAAAAATAAAACCCTAATCCTATATCATATACAAGACCAAATAAAACAATTAATTTAGACAACTAAATAATTAAAATTAAACAATTACTTTAAAACAAATACACTATTAAAATTAAACAATTACTTTAAAACAAATAAACAAATAATTTAGAATCAAGAACAAATACACAATTAATTTAAAATAAAGAAACAATTAAACAATTACGCAAATGAGCACATAAATCACATAATGAAATAAAAATGCAACAAAATCAAATTTAAATTCCCATTGTATCCTTTTGAAAACTAAGGGTATTACACGAACCAAGGAAATGAAATGTTACTCTAGGAGTTTCAGGCGACCGAATCTAGAAAGGCAAATGAATAAGCCAAGCCGATTCTCACAGAGAGTTTAAGAACTAAGGACCAAAGAGTTTCGGTCGACCGAAACAAAGAGGACTTTCTCATCGGTCTACCGAACCAAGGCTAATGGCCATCCTTTGACTAAATCGGTCGACCGATTCTCAAGAGCAATTTATTTCGGTCTACCGAACCTGCACGGATTTGAATCTGAACGGCTATTTCCTCTTGAACCGTGTGCCCAACAACTCTATTGATATCAGATGCACTAGAAACTCTATAAATAGAGTTGGGGTTTTCTGGTTTCATGTTGAGGCTTTTAAAAGGAACTTCTATAGAGCTTTTGCTCTAGTTTTTCCCTCTCCTTGTGGAGCTTTTGCTCTAGTTGTCCACACAAGGAATCACCATTGAAATACATTGCATATCATTCATGTGATTCATCTTGCAAACTTGGAGTTGAGCTTTCATTTGATTATTTCAATTGTAACTCTAAGTATGAGAGCTTTGATTTGTATATTTGTCTATTTGAGAGACATTCAATGTAAGCTTCATTATATATCCATTCTTGAGAGAAGAATACCAAGAGGTGCTCTTGGCAAGGGAAAGCTTGTTTAAGCTATTGTACGGGTTCTCTTTCTCAACCCATAAAAGAAAGAAGGTGTCTCTCTAATGAGAGGATTTGGTAGAGTTCTCCACCCACAAGAGTGAGCAATGGTTCCTTCATAGCCGTCAAAAGAAGGAGAAGCGAGATGACTTCATTACAAGGTCGGTTCTTCACCCGCAAGCAAGAATATGTAAAGGTTTGCTCTCAACCTGTAAGGAGGAGCCATAGTGGAATCCTTAAGATGTTTTCTCAAGGCATGGACGTAGGCCGAGGTTGTACCAAACCATGTACATCGCGTGTCATTTGGTTTGCAATTTCTCTAACTCTTACTCCCTTTATTTCCCTAGCATTTTTCATTTCATAATCTTAATGCTTTATTTATGAATGCTATGAGATGGACATGTTAATTTGTATATGAGGAGGATGGGATGAATGCTTGGATTAAGTTGAATGAGTGATTGATTTTAACTTAGACTATATGTCCTATATTTGATTCATATATAGCTAAAATGATGTTGCATTCCAAGTGTTTGACAAAATGCATATTCAACACATCCTTCATCTTTAGAGTTTATATACACACCAAGTGTTTGATAAATTTGTAATAAACTCTATGACTATGTGTTTCATATTATTTGCACCTTGAATATTAATCACATCAATATTGTGCAAATGCTAATTCTAAATGGTTAGTTGAATTGAATGCATTGAAGCTTAAAGTAATTCATTTATTTGAATCAATGATAATGACACTTAGATGCATGACTAATTAGCATGATTCAATGTACAAAATGAATTGGTCATTTGCTAAAGCAATCTACTCATGTGTAGTAATCTCATTGGATTACATTTCAAGTGCTTGGTGATATCTACATTACAACTCATTAGAAAAGCATTCATCACAATGAATCATATTAGGCTCTAAAGTTTAGAGATAAAGAAAATGAGCTTAGAAAAGCTAAATCGAAAAAGTTCCATAATTTGCCAATGACCCTACTAACCCAACCCCCCCCCGGGGGTGTTTAGAGATAAAGAAAATGAGCTTAGAAAAGCTAAATCGAAAAAGTTCCATAATTTGCCAATGACCCTACTAACCCCCCCCCCCCCCCCCCCCCCCTCCCCCGGGTCATTACTTAGGAAACAGAAATCAATATTAATCTATTAAAATATAAAACAATGTGAAGAGAATTAGAAATATATATAGAGATAAAACGTGTCATTATTTGGTATAACCAACAACGAATTCTCTAGGCCTAACAAATATACAATTACAATTTCCCCAAATATGAAGTCATGAGATATAGTTACACAAATTTAGGGCTCATCCAAACCCTAAGTGGAGAGTTTAGCCGGCCATGGAAAGAAGGAAGACAATCTTCAAAGTATGATCAACCAGCTCCAAGCTCAGCTCCATTTATGCCTCCTCCTCCTCCTTCTCCTCTTCCTTCTTCTTCTTCTTGTTGAAACCTTAAAGAGAAAAAGTGTATAGAGCCTCCCATGTGATCCCAAGTGTGTATATATGAAATTGGGGCTACACAATCTATTTATAGTTGACTCCAATTGCCCAAAATAGGCTAAACCCCGTATAACAATGTCACATATATCGTGCACCACAGCTTGGCCTTCAAAAGGGCTGAATCTGATATTTTTATGACATTCTCAGCCTGCTCGATCGATCGAGTAAAAACTCAATCCATCGAGGCTCGATCAATTGAGCTAAGGCTCGACCGATCGAGTGGATTCTTTTGCAACTTCCTCCTTGTTTGCCCCTTCCTCTCGCCGAGACTTTATAGAAGCTTTAAAACACTATAATAAGTTTTGAGTAGTCCTAAGTACCTGGAATCGGACATAAAACAAATTATTACTAAGACAAGAAAATAAAGATAGATCAAGGTTCTAATATATCCAAGGTTAAGGGCTGAAATATGCATATTTCAACACTTATCAATGGACATTGGTTGGGTTCATGGGTTGGAAAGGATATTTAAAATGGTTTCCAACAATTTGTGAAAAATTGATTTGAAAGTTTTGAAAGATTTTATTCGAAAAGGTTTTGTTAAAACGGACGCCTTGGAGTTGACATGTGATCCGGGGTTAACTAATCTAGAAGGGGGTACGAGACGGAATTTGGACGTGTGTAGTTGATCTACATAAGACCCAAATGACGTTAGGGAGACGCCCTAGGTTAGGGATAGCTAGCCGATTCCCTTTGTGATGCCTAGGATTTGCCTAGGGTCGGGTTGTGTTAATATTTTCAGTGTGTGTTGTGTTGTGTTGTGTTGTAACGGAAATGGTTTCGGAAATGGGGAGAGTGCATTTCATTGCATCTCATTTCATGATCATTTGCAAGGCATGAAGTTTAAACTTATATTGTATAATTGTCTCTTTCCCCATTGTGTGGTCCCTTCTCTTGTTATCCTTTGCTTTGGGTGTGATTCATGGGATTACAAAAAGCGTACTTTAGGTTATCTCTATTAAGCCATTGTGCTTACCCTATACTCTAATATTTTCAGGACATGGCAAGGATGTTGTAGATGATGCACCCCCACAAGCTTAGGAGTATAATGACGATCATTTTGTTATCTTTATGTAAAGACATTCTTTTGAACAATTGACTTCATGTAATAATGAACTTATTCTTTTGTCGACTCCATATGAAGTCATTATATTATGGTCGTGGATGCCTTGATTTGTAATCTTATTCTTTTGAATATGTATGCATGTTTTACGGTGATTTTGATTCACAAAAGATGTATGAATAATGTTATTTTGATGATTCAATAAAATGTTTTAAGGTTGATGATGTCCATAGAACTTTATTTTTCATGTTTGATTGCTTTGGGTTGCATTTGAACAGGCTTGAGAAGTGATCATCTAATCGGTTAGAGGGTCATCTAACAGGTTAGATCAGATTCGAATGCCCATCTAACCAGTTAGATGCTCCCATCTACCCGTTTAGTTGGGTGGGGCAATAAAGGGTTAGATGGATTTTCCATCCGGTTAGATGGGGCCATCGAATCAATTAGATGCATCCATTTACCCGGTTAGATGGGTCCTCAGTTTTATATGCTCTCTGGACCAAGTCATCTAACCGGTTAGATTGAATCATGTAACTGGTTAGATGAGCTAGTATTTGCACCTTAACCCTAGATTTCAATATAATTACTTAATTACTTCTAAACTTCAATCAAAGTATAGAATGACCATAGAAAATGATAGTTTTACCCTTGATGAGTTTAGAAGCTATAATGAATGTACTAAAGGATTATTTTGCCCTTTTGGAATCTAAAACATTATTTGACCACGATAAATGACCATTATGCCCTTATAGACTCTAGAACTACAATTTTAATAAGAAATGACCATAATACCCTTGTGTGACCTCGGGTTCGAATAAAGAGCCGATTAACGATCCGGATCCCAAGGTTTGGATCGTTACATAAGCTTGATATTGATGATGGATGATGGCATGAGTGGTAAATAATGGATCAATTGCATTAAAATTAGTTAGAAAAGGACATTCAGATCATTTCATGATCAAAAGTAATTGTTAACTAGTCAAAGGGCATTTAGGTCCTTTTATAAGCCAGAAGGTGCTGTGAATGCAAGATTTTAAAACCCCAAGGGGTGTCATTGCCAAAAAAACGTTGACTTACATTTAAGTGTAATTGACCATAACCTCAAAGGTGTCAATGCAATTAACCCTATATTTAAATATCGTATTAAAAAAACAAAATAGAACAGTACTCTCCGTCCCAAAATAAATGTCCCTTTTAGGAATCTTACTTTTTAAGAGGGCGACTTTTAGTGTTTTTTTATTATATTGATAATAAATGAATTACCCAATTTACCCATGATCCATAGTGATGTAATGATTTCCTTTTTATAGGTTCGGAAGGTTAAATTGGTAATATTTAAAAATAATAATAATAATAATTAGTACATTGAGTTTTCAAATGAGATACTTTTGGAAACATGAAAAATCACAGGGAAAAGTTCGAACTTTGTTAAAAGATAAACACAAGTTTGGCAGTATGGAAGAAATAAAAATTGCATGCTAATGGATATCTTGTCTACAAGTGTTCCTTGATGGAAATGACTGAGGAGAAACCTAACCTTTGGCGTGGCATAGCTTGCTGTCTCTAGAACTTTGTACTATTTACATCTCTCTCTCTCTCTCTCTCTCTCTCTCTCTCTCTCTCTCTCTCTGTTGTTACTTCTAAAAGCTACAGTTGATGAGGCTGAAAATGTATCGTCAATGATCAGAAGAACTTCCTCAAGTGTGATGCAGGGAAGTTTGCTTCCAATGGAGGCAGGACCAAGTACTCAATTAGACTTGATCTCAATATCTCCTACAGTTTCCTTCGAATGGGCATCAGAGTTATCCCGAGGAAGGAGGCCAAGTAACGGTAAAGGTAACAAGGAGCTGAGATTGCAGAGAATTATTAGGTAGGCCAAGTTGTCAAACCTGTCCCTTGTTATGCCAAAGAGCTGGGTCAGACCAGCACCAAGCAGCCCACCAAGTACACTTCCCCCATTAGATACGGACATGAGGGTTGCAAAAAGCGTTGCTTCCATTCCTTGTGGACATAATCGTGCTGCCAACACAAGAACGGGCATGAAAGAAGCCTGCAACAAAACTCATAATTGGTTCTGCAACAGAATTACCAGCAGGATGCAAATGGCATAAAACAAGCGATTAAGAAACGGACTAGTGCAGATTATGCATACTAAATTACCTGACCAAGAACAGTTATAATCAAAGAATCCCCAATGGCAAACCATTCGTCACTTATTCCTAACTGCCGGTTTAGTCCAGTGACGAGGAAAACCTGTGCAGAAACATAAAATTTCATTCATGACGATTTACTCGGAAAAACTAAGAACAATCTTGGCAAAGGAGACTTGTAACACAAACCTGAGTCATCCCAAGAGCTGCACCAATGAAAGTTGTTGCAAGAAAAATCTTCTGAAGTGGAACATTTTTTAAGAAACCATTATAAAGTCCAACACCAAGAAGTGATGCAACCGAAGTCACAAGCTTAACACGGCCCAGGAACTCGGGGGTGAAATTAAGTCTATTGGTGCTGAAATCAAAAGATCGTTTGTTATTAATTTGAAGTAGACGCAAAAACTAACACAAGAAGTTTCAAATTATCCAACTAATCACACGGCAGAATATTGGAAAAAAAAAAAAATTAAAAAAATGAACATACGATGACCACACATACGTGAAGAAAAACATAGCAGATTCTGAATGCGGTGTTGCCTGCCATAAAAAAATAAAAGAAGTGGGAAGAAAGACATTTGGCTGCTTGACGGCATCCCACAACTGAATAATATTCTGTTTTGAGCTTTCAAAAAAGCTAGGAGTGGCTAAAGGAAGATTCTGTCCCCTTGCTGGGCCAAGTACGGGCTGCTCTTTGACAAGTACTGCAACTGCAGATGTTATCAATGGAAGCAATGCAGTGACTCCAAAAACAAACCTGGAATCAACAATATCATGAGTAATAGTAAGTCAGGATCATCATCAACACCAAAAAATCAAACTAATATTTATACCTTACACCATAGGCATCCACCAGAGAGCCACTAAAGTAGGAGCTCACAATTCCTCCAAAAGCAGCAGAACCCCAACATAACGACTGAAGAGATCCTGACAAACTTTGTGACTCGCCACGAGCCCTCTCTACAACCATGGAATCTACAACCTACAACATGCTTCAGATTTGGCATGTTGATTGATAAAGTATATGACATAAATAGAAATGAAGGGAATGAAAAGTCAAGCAAGGACTAGCTATGTTACCAGTCCCAAATCCACATAAGAATGGAGTGAACTATGACATAATCCTGTTTAAGGTGTTCTTATGTTAAAAAGGAGGCTGATTAATTGCTTTGTGTGTGCATCTATATAAAGAAAGGTAATCTCTTTTTTAATATTTATCAAGATGTAAGAGAGATGAAGAGTTAGTAGATCATCTCCTATTGCATTGCACTGTGGCCCGGGACTGTTGGGCTCTGCTTTCGGGGCTGTTCGGGGTCCAGATTGTTATGCCTCAATCCTCGAGAGGCATGATCGAGGCATGGAGAGTTCGTACAGTGGGTTCCCAAGCTCGTGCCTTTTGGAGGGTTGCATGCTTGTGTTTTTGGCGGTGCTTGCGGAGACAGAATAGGAGATCCTTCGATAGTGAGGAGACTTCTATTGGGTTGCTGAAATTCTTTATTATTAGTTCTCTTTTTTGTTGTGTTCTGGGGAGAAGTTGTAAATCCATGGGGTAGATAGTTGATTTTTTGGATATATTGAGAGTTTAGGGGCCCTATTTGGCTCTTGTGTAGCTTTTGCGGGATGCATTGCCCATTTGAACGCTTTCTTAATACAATCTTACTTAACAATAAATAAGTATTTATCAACACATCACTGATTTATCATTTTATTAATAGGAGTAGAGAACTTCATATGTGTACCTTCAGTAGTGGTACTTTATTAAGAGAATTCACAACAAAGACGAATAACAGTTGCTATTCTCTGTATAAGACACAAGAAGGCATGAGCTTTTGTGTCAAGGAATATGTGAAATAATTGGGCCCTACTTTTTCGAAGCAAGGCAGACCAGGCCACGACCAAAGAGGATATTAATCAGCTCCCATGGTCAACAATGATTGTAGTATGTAAAATTTCAAACCCACATCAATATTTGCTATTCTAGTAAACATAGAAGCAAGAAAATGGTTAAAATGTCTTCATATAAACAGCTAAAATTGCATCGTTGGGACAATTGTAGGTGAGTGAACTAGTGAGGCTGCCCTTCCTCCTAAAGACAGACGAAATAGTTGCTAAATTCTTCTATACTAGGAGATATTCTAGCACCAGAACTGTGATTTAATAATTCTCTCACAAAATTTTGAAAATTTTGCCTCCCCTGTGAAAAGAATTCTCTCATGATGAAAGCTCAAACTACCTTTGACAAATTTCAGCTTATAACAAAACGCAAAAATAACTAAAGGTTTTGATATTTTATAGGTAGGAATTGAAATCAAGGGCATTTTATTTGCAACAGTTAGTATAGTCAATTTCGGGGTTATGTGTTGGGTTCAACTTTAAAGTTCCAGAAGTGAAAGATATGCGGATATCTTGGCGAGGCTCTTTACTTTACAGGGAGCATGACTGTAACTGAATTTAAAGTTCCCAGAGGAGATTTATTTATCCAATTTTCAGCAATAATCAAGAGATCCTATTGCTGAATCACTTCCATAACATATGTGTTTCAAAGGCCGACATATGCACCAAGTCTCCCTCATAGTGAGACATTGACTGCTGTCAAAATCAGTTCCATCCATTACTTTTTGACCACATGTGCATTTTATGTTGTACATGTGATCATATATGTTTAAGCACGTTACACAAATATTTACCCAAGATGGGGGAGGGGGGTTGAATTGGGTCTAATGGAAAACAATGGAAGCTTTTCGATTAATATTATCCTGTGCAAATGATATTCAAGTGAATAAGAGTTTAAGAGCTATTATGCACAACCAAAAATAAATAGGAGTTTAAGGGATAGAGAAAATATAAAATCTGAGATATAACGAGATTTGGTACTCCTGCCTACGTCCTCGGCCCAAGATGCCCTCTTGAGGATTTCCAAAATTCACTATTTGGACTCTTCTTACAGGTCAAGAAAAAAACCTTTGCGCACTCTTCTTCCAGGTGAAGAGCCAACCTTTACAGGTTATCCCAAGCTACCTTGCCAAAAGCAATTTACTTCACTTGGTCTTTACAAGGGTTCATCAACCCTCAGTCACTCACAATAAATGAGATTTGAGATGTGTACAAAGATAACTCTCTCAATAGATAAATTATACAAGTTGAAAGCTCACAATCCTGGAGTTCAAATTGAATAATCAAATTGAAACTCAGTTCTAGATCAAATGTGTATGAATATCAATAAATGATCCTCAATGAATAACAATGTCTCGTACACATAAATGTTGATATGGGGCCATATTTGTAGTCCCATTCAAAAATATAATTGTTAAAGGCATTAAATGCACAAAGGGACTGTTGAACTAGCTTTTAGATTTCAAATTTCAATTAAAGCAGTCAATTGGTTTGGCTAGACCAATCCAAGAGGATGAGTCGACTGATTTGTTGGTTCTTTGAGTGGTTAAACACCGTGGACAAAACCAGTCAACTGGTTTGGCTAGACCAATCTAAGAGGATGAGTCGAGTGATTTGTTGGTTCTTTGAGTGGTTAAACACCGTGGACAAAACCAGTCAGCTGGTCCTTTGGGATTAGTTGATTGACTTCAAGGGAAGTCAATGATGACCAACTTTAGATTTAGAATGAGTCGAATGATTTTACATTGTGAGTTGACTGTTTCATAGAAGCTTCAACTTGTGAAGTCTCTACAACAAATGAGTTCATCATGAGCCGACTGAATCAATAAACTCAACAAGTGAAGTCTCTAGAAGCAATCAACTAAATTAGCCTAACTTTGGGACGTGACATTTCTAAGTTCAATAATAGACTCAATTCCATTCTCTATCAACATATGACCTTAGAAATTATGCAATTCAGTTTAAGTCCTAATCCTACGTGTCTAGGGGCCAATCAAATTATATGAATGCCATGCATTGGGTCCTAGAGACCAAGTCTTAGATTTGAGACTCAAACTAAGTCATTCAAAAATAACTTTACAATTAAGTCTAGCTCTCACCATAGACTATCTAACATTGTCTTCATCTTTGATTTCAATGTCTTTTGAGCTTTAGATTTAATCTTCAAGATTTGGATCTTTCTTAGCTTTTGCCATTGATCCACAAGCTTAATTAAGTTTAAGATAAACCCATTGAACTCTCTCAAGTCTCAAGTAGACATTCGTACAACACTTCCAAGGGTTTGTTATCATCAAATTTACCCTTCTACCCTTGGGTTGAAACCTTGGGGTGAACAGAGACCTCTGTTTGGTATCATCACTTCATACGAATGGGGTCAGCCAATGAAATCCATCACAATCTTACTATTTAATCTCTTTATAGATCAATATGGCTAGTCTGACAAGTTTTCACTCTTTCATAGCGTGATCCATCAAAAAGCCAATAATGAACATTGATTGATTAACCAAACAGATCAAAATCTACTCCTAAATCTCTCTATTTGTGACATCAAAACATCATTAATATAATTTTCGAAAAAAAAACATCATTAATATCTTTTTTTACCAATCCAACATTGTCTATCCAACTCCAAAAGCATTACACTCGTAAGATTATCCCAATTTCCCAAATTTATTTCTGAAAAAAATACATGAACAAAACAAATATTAAGTTTTCAAATTTTCAAGTCATGTTTCCATTTATTTCGGGGGACTAGTCACCATCTCATGCTTCTTTGGCAATCACTTAATTTTCAATCTTGCTACATCCCTTGTAACTAAAGTGCCTTAATATATAGGCCCCTCATTGCATTTGATGCCTCATATTGATTATTGTCAATCCCCTCAGATTTTAATTTTGAAGGTTTACTGTAATGACCCTAGATACAAGGGTTAAAACAAAACTTTATTATTGGTACACCACACTAAATTTGCTACACCTTGCCACTCACAATCATATTTAAATGGTCAAACCAAAGGACCAATTGGCCAGCGATATCACCCCTTCCCTCCCAAAGGGGAGGTCGGGGATTCGAACCTCGGTGGAGGTAGGGTGTGTGCGTAATTGCTTTAACTTCCAAAAATATATATATTTAAATGGTGAAGATTTAACTAAACAAGGACCATGGGTCAAAATAACCTCTCCACTCAGACCCTGATAGTAATGATAATAAAGATTATATATTTTCTTTCAGGGTTAAAAATTATGCCATCTGGAGAGAGAGAGAGAGAGATTGAAAAGGGACACCGGGGCAAAGAAGTCAAAAGGGGACAACATAAGCAACAAGAATCTTCTATTGATGACCTTGCCTCCTATGAAGAATTTCAAAATGCCTTTGACGAGCTATTTATTGAATTAAAAAAATAAATAAAATAAAATAAAATTGGCAGATCATTCACTCTTGCCCAATTAGGAAGAACTCAATCACAAAGATGATTTAACACTAACCAAATTGGATCCAAATATTTGGATACCAAAAAAAGTTTCATGAATGTGTTTTGTAGGTGTTTTTTAAATCGTCACTCATTGAGGACAAGCGATTTCTTGATGGTAGTTGCTGAAGGCACTTGAAGAGAGAACAATCCAAGTTTATCCTCTCTCACCAAAGGAACTTGGGAACCACTACAATGGTAAGTTAATTGGGTGTTGGCACTATAGGTAAAGATTTTCTTCCTACATTGAAAATATTCTCTTAGTTGATGGCTTAAAGCATAACTAGTTAAGTATTAGTCAATTATATGTTAAGGGCTATGTAGTTGTTTATTATTCTAATCATTATTAATTAATAAGGATGTTAATTATAAAATGTTATTGTTGCATATTGACATAAAAATGCTTACGCTTTAAATTTTTATGATTTGCATGCTTAGGATGTTGAATGCTTTGTTGCTATTGAATGAAGGTAACTTGTTATGGTATTGGAGACTTGGACATGCTAGTATGAACTTAATTTCTATACTTTCCAAGAATAATTTAGTTAAAAGATTTAGACTAAATTTATAGAAGATAAAATTTATGATACATGTTAACTAGGAAAACAAACTATATCTTCTTTGAAAAGAAAAAGAATTGGACAAATCTAGGACTTTAGAGTTGACTTGCTTGTAACTAATAGAGTAGCTAGTCTAGAAAGAAATATGCCTTTGGAGTTGAGATAATTACTCCGTATTCACTTTAGTGTTATTTCTTGCAAACAAAAAATAAGGCATACAAGTACACCATTAAGTCCTCTAGGAGTTATAGAGTTAGAAAGTTTTACACCATTAAGTTCATCTTGCAAACCTAGAGTTGGGTTTTCTCTTTAATACATCTATAACTCTAGGATTTCAGCTTGTATTGTAAAACCACAATTCTTGTGCTGTGATTTTACATCTATCTTTGAGAGATACAATTAGAAGGTCGGGCAACCTTCATGAAGACTAGGTGGCTACGGCTCACTTAGCATTGACAGCTCAAGATGTATTGTAAGTGTTGGCCCCAAGATTTCAAGCCAAGTGAAACTTGGTGATTTTGATGATCACGTGAGTATTTAACAGTCCACTTAAGTGTGATGAATTTCAGAAAATTATATAAACTAAAATACCCAACAGATCCACGCACAAATTGTTCAAGTATTCAAATTGGATCGAGCACATGGAAAAGGAAATATACATTAAAGATCAAGTTCAAGACCATAGACCTAAGAGGTTGTTGAGTGTTAGAATCTGTGTAAAGTAATGGCTATGTAGCATGCTGATTCTAAGCTCAACCTTAGAATATAAAAACTCGACTCAAGCTAAAAGATAAACTATTTTCTTAGTTCTTAAGAAAAATGACTCAGCTCACACACAGTTTAAATTCAAAAGCAAGAGCAAGGTAGTCATTTGGGGTCACTTGGTTTTTCACTTTATGGTGCCAGAATGCTTTAATTCAAATTCTATGATAGAGTTAAAATGGATGTTGCTTGTTTGTACAAGTCGTCCTTATCCCTTGTGACATGGCCGAGTAATGGATAAGATCAATTGTACAATGTACAGGCCATGGGACATCCGCTGGGCTTTCTAGAGGTGTCTTACCCTTTTTGAGTTGGCTAACCCCTGAATCTTGAAATACACTCAGGTTAGACCAGCCAGACGTCTTCTGAAGTCTGCTTGTACTGGAACAAGAATGTACTGGAGAGAAGTATGACGCTTCACTTAAACCTGTTTCCAAAGAGTCTTCAAGCTCTCTAACGGCTAGAATCTAAACGGATACCATATATACAAGGTTCCCCTCACCTATTTGGGTATCAAAGCACATTAGAGAAAAAATTAATTTGAAGAAGCTTTTTGGGCACTAAAAATCTTTTCAAAAAGCTGAAAACAGATTAGAGGGAAAACCTTTTAGAAAGATTTCAATTCTTCAATGAATATCAGAAGAAGTCTTTATTTATCATTCTCTAGAAATTGAGCAAAAATCATTTACTTCATCCATTACTCTAGAGAATGAGGGTGCTTATTGTATATCTTTCTTTTAAGACTGTAATGAGGCTTCCATTGTATTATCTATCCAGAAGGGACATCATTGTATGAGCTGATTGTATATCTTGAGAAAATGTTGCATTGAAGGTCAGTGTGACCTTCTGGAAGTCTGAGAGAGAGCTGCTCACTCAATAAGGATAAAGGTTATCTAACTTATCTCTGAGCTCGGTAAAAGAGATTGTAAAGGTTGGTCTTCGACCTGGGAAAAGGACCACTGTAAAGGTTTCTTCTCTATCTGGTAAACGGAAGGTGGAATAGTGATTGGGAATCCTCGGGAGGCTCTCCTAGAGGCAAGGAGTAGGTAGGTGACGAACTTTGTAAATATTGGTGTTCTAAGTTTGCAATTCCTCTATCCCTTGAACTCCGCATTTTTAAGCTTTTCTCTCTGTTATGTGCCTTGTTTTGATTCAAATCTATTAGCACAGAATACACATAACTGTCTCTCTTGTTTGCACGATTAGCATTTCATATTCATACTTTGTTTTGTGCAAGAGAGTAGAGCACCCAAATCTATACTCAGTGAGCACACAAACACTCCATTGACAGACTGTTTTGTGCTATTAGTATTTGCCCCAAATCTCAAAAAAGCTAAGCTTGTCTAAAGACTCAATTCACACCCCTCCCCTCTCTTGAGTCATTGTATGTTGCACAGTAAGGGTTCACACTCGGCCCGAAAAAAAGGGGGTTCTCTCTCAGCCCACAAAAGAGTAGGTTTGCTCTTGAGCCCAGAAAAGGAGCACGTAAAAATTCTCTTCTGCTAGGTGAAGAAGAGGGTGTAAGGTTTCTTCTCTACCCGTAAAGAGTAGGAAGGAGATAGTAAAATCATGTAAACCTCAGTGTCTTTGAGTTTGCATTTCTCCATCCTTAACTCACTTTACACTTGCTAGTTAATCTCTACTAGCATTTTCATTTGCTAAATTTCTAGTTGCTCTTCAAACATTTTATTTATGAATGCAATGAGTTTTCGTTGTCATAAATATATACATTGAAAAGGAGGATCGAATGTATGATTGGATTAAGTAGATTATTTGGTTGGGTTGATTATATAAGGAGGATGGGATGTATGGTTGGATTGAATTGATTGTGTTGTGGAATTAATTAGATTGTAATTGCTCTTTTATTTGCATCCTTACTTGCTAAATTTTAGTTGCACGCCAAGCATTCGATGAAATGCATAATCGACATAGTCTTTACTTTAAGCCTTTCGAATGTTGCATTTGCATGTGCATTTCCATTAGTTACTTCTATTTACTCATTAAGAGGTTAACAAAAGTTCTTTTTGCTTAGCTAAATATATTAGAACATTAAATACTTGATAATAGGAATTTTATCTAACTTATTTATGTATATATTTGCCAAGGCATTGTGTTTAAACAAGATAATCTAAAAATCCACATAATTCTTACTTTGTGTTCATTAGATTATATTAGAGTGTATTTATTCTCAAACGCTTGCACAAATCTTTTAATAGGTTCAGATTTGAACACACAACTTTCAAATGATAAAATTCATTTGATCTACTTCACATGGATTTGTTTAGACTTAATAGAGTAGCAAGTCTAGGAGGTACGATATATACATTTGTGATTGTAGATGATTACTCTAGGTACACTTGGGTGTTATTCCTTGCACACAAAAATGAAGCACCCACATCATTTGCTAAATTTTGTAGACAGTTACAAAACGAAAAGGGTTAAGAACATAAACAATGCATCCATGTGGCAGAAAAGCGGATGTTAAGATGGATGTTAGGAATAACTAGGAAAGATAAGATTAATAATCAAAGAATTAGGGAGAGACTAGGCGTGGCGCCTGTTAACAAACAAATACAAGAGTTGACTTAGGTGGTATGGGCATATTCAACACCAACCTATAGATGCACCCGTGAAAAGAAGAAGATTAATTTGCATAGAGGGTAAGAGACAAAGAGGTCGACCAAAACAAAAATGGAATGAAGTGATAAGAAATTATTTCAAAAAATAAAATCTAGTAGACCATATGACCTACAATAGAAAAGAGTGGAAAAAGAGAATCGATGTGGCCAACCCTGATGGTACGGATAAAGGCAAGGATGATGACAAAGACAACATACAATTTAAACTTTCATATATCAACTGTTAACATGTTAGATGTCACAAACCCCACATGCTAGGCATGTCAGCCATTCCATTCTACGTTCAAAGTTCAAACACACATCACCAAACTTTCTAAAAATAGAAGAAGCGGATATAGCTGCCATTTCAAATAAGACGTGGTAAAACAGACATTAGCATCTCCATTAAGTTGTTTTACAACTACATGCAAATTAGATACTTACAACATCTGAGAAGGCAACAGAAAGAGATCCAAGAAGTATGCAAAAAGCAGCACCATATTTGCTGTCAACGAAGGTGGACATCAAAAACCATGAAAATGCTCCAAGAAGCCCTGATAGGACCAGGTATGACCTTCTTCGATACCCAAAAAGTGGAAATGAATCACTGTAGTCACAAACCAATTGTCATAAAGGACACAATAATCAATCAAATACTTAAGAATTGAGAGGAAAATAATGAAAATATACTCGTATGGCAAAATGGCACGCACCTAATAAACCCATAAAGAGGTTTGATAAGCCATGGTAATGATGAGAAACCAGATATCACTGCTGTCTATCAGTCATGTAATTTGTCAGGATTTAATAATTTTAATTATAAATTTTAAATAAATAAAAAAATGATTTACTATTGGGAGAAGGTAAATTTCAACATCTCATCCACAATTCATAAGTCACAATCTCACAAAAATTTCTGTGAAATTATTTCAAAATTTTCACTTCTAAAGAAGAAAAAAAGCAAGTGCCGAATCATGAAATGAATACTAAGATAATCAATAGAAAATATCAAAAGAATGAAATGCTTTAAATGGTTGACATATTCAATGACTTAAACTATCACTTTAACGGATAGGGAAAGGTAAACGTTACATGCAAATAAATAATTCCATCACTAAAGATTTTTGGGTATGAAGATGAAATACCTCTGCAGGATCCAGATGCAGATCATCTTTCAAGTAGAAACTGACAGCAAGCCTTGATAGGCCTAAGACACCTTGGACAAAATATACCATAGCAACTGCAATGTTGTCTGGGGTTAGGTCCACCCCAAAGTATTTAATGGATCTTGTAAAATACCTATTCTTGCTCGGAGTGCTTTTACTAGGAGAGCTTGCTTCTCCTTCTGCATTGGTTGTTAGCAAATCATTTTTTCCTGCACACAGTTCAGGAATACATAACTAATATAGAGAAGGGAAGCATTGGTCCAATACAAGGAAACACTTGAAATGAAGTTTCAAGACACCCATCCACTTACCGAAGAAAAGAAAAAAAGTTTGTAAGACATCTATGATCTACCTGTTTACTGAACTCCTAAAGAAAATTAATACCAAATCATAGAATTCTTAATCTGCTTTAGTAGACTTTTGACCTATATAATAACAAACTGACTCTGCATTATATACTAAAAAAAAAAAAAATTCTAATGCTCCTTGCATGGATTTATAAGAAGTGGCGCATCCATATTGAAGCCCATTGGTGATTGCATTGCATATGAAGCACTTATGGCAATAAGAGTTGATATTGGACTGGTGCCACAACCTTTTCTCTAGCCTACTAAACCAAAAGACTGGTTAAACATCCTGAGATGAAATCAAACCAAAGACCCCAGCTCATTAACATGCAGGGTGGTCACTATTGCAGAGGAATTGCCCCTATCACAAATCCTTGAAAATAAAAAATAAAAACAAGGCAACCAATGTTGCTTATCAAAATGTGTGCGCGTGCGCATGTGTAAGGCAACTAATATCAAGAAGAATTCCACTAAAAGAGTAGGTTCATTGAAGGAAATGCACTTGGAATAAGTGCAAGGGAAAGAAGGGGAAGGTCGCTTGTGAAGCTAAAATATAACTTCTACCTTTTATGTCATTTTATCTATAACTGGAAAAATATGGCACATGTTTAATCAAACCCCAACTACTTCAATTCTCTCAAATGAATTCAATCTCACCCATTCATAACTCCAAAATCAGCTCCTCCAAGGGACCCATCTTAAGCAATCAATTTTGAACACCACAAAAATCACTTACAAGTGTACCAAAATTCAATGAAAATTTATTTGGGAAAAAACTAAAAAATTTAATATTTTCTGTTTTTAGCCAACAAAAAGTCGAAAATAGAAAAAGACATCACAGGAGAAAACTCAGTAACTACAGAAATTGAAAAAAAATTAAAGATCAGAAATCAACTTCACAGAAACTAGAGAAAAACTTACGATTTCTAGGATCCAAAAAGGGCTCGTCATCGTTGTCCCGACGTTGGGACGACGCCGGAATGGAAACACTAACGGACATGTCGACTTCCGGAGTTTTCTGAGGTGGTTTCCGGCGGTTGGTTCGACGAGCTCCGGCGACTATCGTGGGCGGGTTCCGGCGGATCTGAGAAGGGATAGGAAAGGTGGAGAGGGAGAGGAAAGACAAATTTTGATTTTGGAAGGGTAGGATGGAGAATGAATTTAACGTTAACTTGGTCATTAAAATAATAACGGTTTTGCTAAAAGACTTCACTTCAATAATGGTGAAGCCTGCTCAGTGCTCCCTAGGTTTCTCTGTCCTCAGCAATCAGGGTTCAAATTATTGTTCTTTAACAAGATCTGACACGTGGTAGCTTAAAAAAAAAAAAGAGGATAAATTGCACTTACTTCCCCTACCGTTTGAATTAATTACACTTACTTTTTCTGTATTATAATTATATATTTATTTATTCACGGATCCTTTACTGCACATAAATAAATAAATATATATATATTTTTTCCTAAATGGATATTTATTTATTCACCGATCCTTTACTGCACATATATATAGTGTATGTTTTTACCATAAACCTGTTATATGATGATTATATTGTTTGACCATTAATGAAAAAATAAAAATAAAAAATAAAAGAGAAATTATATATACATTGTTGTCAAGAGCTTATTTAATATTACTTATTTAATGTTTGGTTCTTATGTGTAATTTTTAAATTTTGTTAATATAAATAAAATGTAGTGAAAGTATGAAAGTATTTTTTCATTCTCTCTCTCTCTTCCCCATCCTTCTCTCTTTTTCTCTCATTCATTTTTTTTTTTTTTTTTTTACATCTTATACTTTACTCTTAATTTGATTATCTCTTATAGTTAAAATAGTATTAAAGCATGGTTTGTAAAAATCTAGGTGTGTAGTTAAAACCCTAGGGCAAGTTTGTGTAAACCCTAGTAGGTGTGAAGCGTTTTGAAGATATTCTAAGATGAGATTTGTTTACAAATGAGTAATGTTAATCATATCTACACGTACCGCAAATCCAACCAAGAGTGATCCTGTTTTTGATCGATTACACTCTCAATAAGTGTTTTTTTCATGTTCGAGTAATTCTGCAACAATGGCTTTTTCTTTGTCGTTTGCGATTCTGGTATTGTCTACTTTGTTGCTTTCTAGGGTTTGTGTACTGAGTGTGTGGTCACTTTTTTATGCATCTCAAAAGACAGTAATCTCTCCACTTACAGTTGTTTGTGCGTTAGAGAAGTGGTTCTATATATATTTTGTTATTGTTTTGTTACATTTTTTTTTTTCCTGAGGAGTGTATACCCAGAAACTATTTGATAAAATGTCAGAGGTAACTTCCAAAAAAGTTGGATCTTCTCGTGACTCTAGTGTTAGGAGGTAGTAGTGATTATCATCTAGGCCTTTATGTTACGACTGTTAAGCTTGATGAGATGAACTATATGGAGTGGGCTCAATCTACATGTATGTTTAATAATGGTTGTAGGATAATCGACCATATCAAAGGGACTGTCACGTATCCCTCCATGAGTGATACTGAATTCAAATAATGGAGTGCAAATAATGCACTAGTTATAACGTAGTTATTGTAGTCAATGCAGCCACAAATCAACAAAGGGTTTCTGTTTGTGAAAACAGCTAAAGAACTATGGAAGGCAGTGGAAGAGACGTATTCCTCGGTTGGTAATTTTGCAAAACTGTTTGAGTTCCAACAACATATTTCAAACTTTAAACAGGAAAACTAAACTCTTGCTACATATTAACACACTCAACGTGGTAAATGGGAAGAGGTAGATCACTACCAAGACTACATACCTATCTGTGCAGTTGATGTTAAAACATTTCAGAATATGATAGAAAGGAATCGAATCTATGAGTTCTTGGGTGGTCTGCATCCGAGATGCAAACAGGCCAGGGTACAAGTGTTAGGCAGGTATCCAATCCCTACTTTTGTTACAGATGTATTATGATACCCCCGAATTTCCTAATGTGGTTGGCCAAGCCTATGCCCGAATACTCAGAGATATCAAAACAAACTGGCAATAAACGAACACAGAATACAAAAGAATAAACAAGAATAGATAAAATGCTGAAATGAAAACTAAAATGATAAAATAATGAAAATCTCAAATAAATTTTCATTGATTAATAAATCCTTCTGATACAATTAATCCTCCAAAATAATACAATTCGGGAATTCATACTATGTGGACCCGTAGAAAATCCAAACAGAATAAGTAACTGAAATAATGTCTATATTTGAAAACTGAATCATAAACGAATCTCCTAAATAGAACCGGAAGAATGAAGTAGACTGATCCCTGCTTAGCACGAACAACCTCTACTCCTGACGAACACCTGAAAAATAATGGTGGGCCAGGCCCACAAATAAGTTCTACTCTACTACAGTCCAAGCAAATATCCGATACACGTATACATCTTAGTCAATCCAATAATAACTACATAGTCCGTATATATATATATATACACACACACTAAAAAATGCTCACAAGGCTATAGGTCTGCCTTAACCTGAATAGTAGGCAACATGCAAATCGCACATAAAGTGGGTACGAGTACTTAGACCTACCAGGGCACACAAATGTCTACTATATCTAGTTATCCATCCTAGGCAATATACGCACTTTAACTATGATCCTAAGACTCAAGCTTGTTGACCTTAAGGACTTCATCCAAGGACAATCTAGAGGTTTTGATGATAACAAACCATTAATGGTGTTTAAGGACTAATGTTTACATTGAGTGTTATATAGATTATTCACATTCAAAGAAGAACCTCAATGAAGCTATAGAGATCATTCCAAGTATTTCATTATTCAAGATCACATCAAGGAAAGCAATGGATACAAAGAAGACCTGAAGTTGCAAAGAACCAAATGCAAAGTCCATCCAAAGATAGCTTGGACTTTAAGGAGTAAGAAAACAACTCAAAGGAAGGAAGAAAGCAAGACTACCTCAAAGCCTAAAGATCATAGACAGAGCTTGAAGAAAAGGATAGATAGGATGGTGAGTGTTTAGGATTCAATGTCAAAGTATTTATGAATCCATTTGAAGCTCATCTCTATAGGACCATGCATATCATATCATCATTCATATGTTCTTATATATATTAGCAATAGACTATGCATTTTATTCATATATAATTGCACATGAAGTCATTGTTAAAGAGTAAGTTAGTTCAAGCTTGCATAAGCTTTGAAAGAACTCATCACTTGTGCTAGAAATACTAAGACCATGCACATCAATCATATAATTCATATTGGTCAGCAATTAAGGCATGAGAAGCCTTTATTACCATGAGTTGGTAACGGATATTAGGACCCCAGAATGCACGTCATGAAAAACTGTGTTTTTGGCTAAGTGTGAAAAATAGATTTTTGAAATAATGATTATTTCAAAATAATTTTTTCCGGTATTAACTCTGTACATTTAAACTAGCCTTAACTGATTTTATCAAAATTTTGACCAAGTCTACATTGGTTTACGTAAAGATTCATTTTTACCAAAACTGTAAGAAATCCAAATTTGTACTAAAACTGAATTTCTATATTTTGATTTAGTTGGATTTCAATTTTTTAGTATTTTTTATTGAAGATGGTACTTCCTTATTTACATTGTAAACTTAAAGTAAATGGACATTTACTTAAATGTTTTCAATGGAAATAAGGTCTGTGCAGATGTCCTGTACACAAACTGTCTCATCTGTTAACTTAGAACACAACTCCTGAAGCAATAGTTTCATTTTGGCAGACCGAAATGCATAGGCAATATGAATCAGACGACCGATTCTAATAGAGAGTTTTGATCAAAGGAGGAAGGTATTTCGGTCGACCGAAACACAATGGTGTTTTATTTCAGTCTACCGAAATAAAGAGTGACAGCCAACCTTGAACTATTTCGAACGACCGAAACACAATGATGTTTCATTTCGATCGACCGAACCTGTGCAGATTCAAAATTGAACGGCTATTTCCTCTCGGGCAGTGTGCACAACAGCTCTAATTTTGAATTAGTTGCTGAAACTCTATAAATAGAGTAAAGGGACTTCGGGATTGAAAAGTTGCTACACTTGGGAGACATCTTCTAGCATCATAAGAGCTTTTGTTCTTCATTCATATCATACTCTCTTATCCCATATCATTCATAGAGTATTGAGCTTCAATCTATTCATATATATACTCTGGAGTGAGCTGAAAGTTGTGAGCTAATATTTGCATATCAATCTTTGAGAGATATATATGTATGAAACAAATCTGATCTTTATTTGTAAGGGCTGGTGTGGCCCAAGGAAGAAGAAGCCAGCAAGCTTCAATTTGTAAGAGTTGGTGTGACCCAAAGGAAGACTAAGAGAGGTTGTTTCTTAACAAAGTGAAGCAATGAGTTGTTTCATGTAAAGGTTGTTGGAAAAATATATGCTTAATGTGACTTTTAAGATATAACAACCCTTATACTAATATGTCATGAGATAATTAACAATATGTTAATAAATCATTAATTAAATATGCAACTCTATATTTAATTAAATATGCAAAATAAAGCAATAAAATAATAATAATATGCAATGAATGAACCTGAACCGAGGCTAGTATTGGATACTATGTCCTTAAGACAGATTCGCCCCGCTATGATGCTAACGGACTCAGTGGCGTCTATCTCCCAGGATACAACGGTCTACATCCACCAGTAGCAGCACTACAAACTCGTGGATACGACGAACCTTCTCCGTGTAATACTCTCTCTGACTCAAAAATGCATCTATATACTATATAAATGCTGAATTGGGTGTAATCCGAACCAAATGGTTCGGACCAATCTTAATATGGCTCGATGAAATTGGATTAGGTTCGAAGTGGCTCGAACCACTTAACCTATGGTTTGAACCCACTTGGGTTGGGTTCTAGTCTAGAGAGGGAGATAGAAGAAAATGAAAAAATGAATTAATTGCAAATGATCCAAAGGGGGGTATTTATAGAAACAGAAATGCCTTTTCGAATGGAGTGCGTCTTTTCATCATTGGACACAACCATTGCAATAGGTTGCAATGGTTCACATGGTGTCTATTCACCACTAGACACATCCATTCCAATAGGTTGCAATGGTTCACATGGTGTCTGTTCACCAATAGACAAATCCATTTCAATAGGTTGCAATGGTTCACATGGTGTCTGTTCACCAATAGACACATCCATTCCAATAGGTTGCAATGTGCCTTTTCGAGTGGGTGCAACTATGGGTTATGATGGTTCGGAAAAAGGTGTAACCCTTTGGAGAAAACTAAAAGTGGTTTT